TATATATATATATATATATATATGGAAGCCAAAGAAAGATTTTTTTTTATTAGTTCACAAAACTACATTAGCACAAAGTAGTGCCAATTCTTGGTAGATACCCAAAAAGTACAGATTTTGGAAAATGCTTTGCCTCCCAATTCTTGTTCAACTAGCCAAATAGAATGTATGCTAATGCCATCCGTGGCGGAACTTGATGAGGAAAAAAGATAAAAATTGGAAGGGATAAAATAAAAATGGCTAATGTATAAATGAAATATACCAGCTTTTTTTTTGGTAAAGTAATATACCAGCTTTGATAATATCATCTGTTATTGATTATTTAAATATTTAATGATACTATTAAAATTTCAATTATTTTAATTAATTATCTTTTATAATAAAATATTTTTCTACTTAAAACACTCGTTAGTATTTTGGTTTAAACTCTCATTAGTTGCTCACTTGTGCGAATTAATTAGGTCTTTAATTAACATCAATTATAATAGGTCTTATACATTAGTTGTATGATCAATGTATATTTTGTCCATGTGATAGTTAGCACTTTTAACATTGAATGGTGACTAATGTAAAAAATGCACATTCAACATCGCTTATTATATTATTGATGTAGAATATTCAATATTTTATATCAGGTGAGTATAACTGTTATTGTATACACATATTGAGAAGCGTTGAGACCATTTTTTAACTTTTCCTGAATATTGAGAAGCGTTCTAATTATATTGTCATACACATTTTTTTTACATGCATAATATTAAATACAATGTCTCACATTAAGTATTTTCTAGTACGACAGATAAAAAAATATTTACCCTTAGTTTCATATGTGATGGAATAACACTAAGACCAAGAAGACCAAGAGGTGATATATTGAAGGAGGCAAGAGGAATGAGTTAGTATTGAAAAACCACAGGAGGAGTGAGCCTACTTTTGGGCTTTAGCTCCTAAGTTTTTATTAGCATAGAATTTATTTTTATTCCTATTTTACCCTTGTCTTTAATTTCCTATTTTACCCTTTTATTTTGGGTATCTCAGACATAGGATTTATTTTACTTGTATTTCCCATTTTATCCTTATATTTTGGGGTGCCTTAGTCATATGATTTATTTTTACTTGTATTTCTCATTTTACCCTTGTATTATGGGGTGCCTTAGATTATAGGATTTTATTTTATAGTTAGGATATTTTATTAGGGTTAGAAAAAGGCCTAGACATATATATTTTTGGTAGCATTGGATTTGTTTTTGGACTTGGTAAGGCTTAGGCCCAAGTGGAGGGTACCTAGGATGCATGGTGTTATCATGCACCTAGATGTAGCTTAACCAAACCCAAAGATTCCATCCTTGGCCACCAAGTAGCATCTAGGGTTAATTTAGGTTTTATTTGAAGTGCTTTTGGCTTGCATTTTTCGGCCAAGGCACTCTCACATGAAACCCTAATTCTTCCTTCCTTCTATAAATACCCTAGGCTATACAACTTGTAATCACTTTGGAAATTGAATATAGAGAGAGCCTTTGAGCCTTTATATTTTCCTTAGTCCCCTTGGCTATTTTCGGCCACCACCCTTCCATCTCCACCTTGAGAGAAATAACCCTAGAAGTGGCCTTCAACTACCTTGGAGTGAGCCAAACCTAGAGTGCACCTCTCAATCATTTCATCAAACACTTCACCCACACTCTCCATTTCCGCCCCTTCCTCCATCAAAGACGTCCCTTGAAGAACTTGATCCAAGGAGTCCAAAGCATCCCTTTCCATTGTTCATCATCTTTTCATCTATGCAAGAAAGGATGCCATCATGTGGTATTTAGAGCCTTGGTTCTTCAAGGATAACGTTTTTTTTTTGTTTCTTAAATTTGGTCATGTCTAATTTGAGTCTTTTTGTTGTCTTCTAAGTTGTGCGTGATTGAGTCATCATCTTTCCATATGTCATGATTCATATTCCTCCTTTCATGTATTGATTCATGCCTCATCATTCTTGTGAATCATCTTGGTGCTTTAGTCCTTGCTAGGGTTCTTACCATTTTCTCTTTAAATTTGAGTTGCTGGAAAATTTTGGGCTGCATGATATAATGATGTTTTTTATTTTAAAATCCATATGATTTTGTCATAAGCTTGTCTCCTTTGAATTACCTTGAAAGAAATTCCAAGTTTTTATGCTTAGCCCTTAAAATGAACAAAAAATGACATGCATGCCACTTGTTTGATGAAATGGCCGTGAGTCCTTGATGTGCTTTAGAGAGTCAATCATGCATGCTAATTAGTTCTAGCATGTTCTACATTCCTAAAATATCATGTGATTAATTTCTTTGCACATACTTGCTTTAAATTTTTCGGCCACTTTGTGTATTCCTTGGTGCACTTGATATGCCTATGTATTGTTTGATGTTTTGAGTATGAAAATGACTTTTATGTGAAAATTCTTGTTGCTGGACATTGCACACTAAAAACCTTAATTAAGAAAACACTCAAAACTTGTCTCTTTAAGCCATTGTAAGTTGCTAAGAGGATACTCCAAGGACTTGCTCATCAAACTAACAAGACACAAGTGTGAAACCCAAGCAAAGGAGAACTATAAAATAAAAAAAATAAAAAAAAAGTGAATTGGTTGGACCTTTGGACCTCAAAACCATGACCTAGTCAACTATCAAAAAGAATCAAAGACAAAAGAAAATAGGAACCTTTGCTAGACTTGTGGAGTTTGGACCAAATTTTTCATACGTTGGCACTTGGAGTTATTCTTGGACTTTTGGACAATGCTTATTGACCTTATGAGACAATTAATCAAGCACCTTAAGTCCATTACTTTCCTTTAAAGCCTATTTGTTGAATTCTATTCTAGTTCCATTCTAGGACTTATTCTCTTGTGTGCTTGCCTTTCTTAACGTGCCTTAATTTTAGTTTTGAGTCTTCTTTCTACTCTTAAGTTTGTCTCATCAATTCCACTTGAGTTTAGCCTTTTTAATTGTGCCTTTTTAGTTTTTCTTCCTTGGCCTCTTGTACTCTTGGGTTTTGGTTTCTTCTTGACCTAGGTGAGGAAAACTTCTAAACACCATACACTTTCTTGGTGGATTGAGTGGAGGGGCTGTCCGATTTGAGTTCAAGGAGCTTTGGAGAATCACACCAAATCAAAGAGTGCATACACATTGAGAGGCTAACTTTTGGGTGTTCCTTGTGAAAGGGTGGATAATTGAAGACTTGAAGACTTGGAAAGTTTTTTTTTCCTACTTGTTTCCTTTTGTTCAATTTTTGGCCTCTTGTGTTTTGGCCTTTGTTTTCATTCATTTTGGTTTGTAATTGGCCATTTTTAAACCTCTTCATATTAGGGTAACTCGAGTAGTGCTTGTGGGAGTGACTTGAATACCACCAAGGTCACTTCAAGCTCCCACCTTAGGGAATCCGACTAGCATATGCTTTAAGTTGTTTTTCTTTGCATGTTTTATAGCTTTGGTAGTATAATTGCTTAGGTTTTCTTTATCTTACTTGTTCATTTTAGAAGGCTACAAGTTGCCTACTAGGGGGCCGTGCACACACACACTTAACTTTGTGTAAAAAATTTATTTTGTAAGAAAAGTGTGAAAGGACTTAGTGATTTTTACTTGAAAAGGCTTGGTTTTTAAGTGATTCTTAGTAGTCCACCTCCCTTGATAGTTCACTTTGTGCACTTAAGCCTTTTTACACCAATGTTACACCTTAAAACTTTTTGTAAAAACTTTTTCATCACTCACTCTTTGTGAAAACCTTTTGAACTCTATTTTTGAAAACCTTTTCTTGATCAAAGATGAGTGATCATTCTAGTGTACATGGTCATAATTCATATAGTAGTAGACCTAGTATTAGAGATAAGCTTAGAGAGTTAAAAGAGTATTTGAGAAAAAAGAGGAGGAAAATATAAGGTTCCCCTCGATCAGTCTTCAGAGAATGTAGAAGGAAAAGAAGTCAAAACTGAAAGAAGTTAAAACTGAAAGGTGTGCTTTTTGGAAGTGCTAGAGCGCTCTATTTATAAGCATCAGGAATGGCCGGAACGACCCGTTTCAAATCCAGAACGATCCATTTTGGACTCTTATGTTATGTGCAAAGTTCACAACTAGAATGGCCCGTTCTCAAACTAGAACGGCCCGTTCTGGGGTTGCATTTAACCCATAATGGCCATATTTGGAACGGCCCGTTCCCAACTAGGGTTATAGGCCTTTTTTTGGTGGTTTGGAATGCCCCGTTCCAATTTGGGAACACCCCGTTCCCATCTAAAATTTGTAAACAATTTTTCTATCTTGGAACGGCCCGTTCCAGTTTGGGAACGGCCTGTTCTGGGGTACCAAATCACCCTTGTTTTAGTAGTTTGGAATGGCCCGTTCCAATCTAGAGACGGCCCATTCTGGGCTACTACATAACCCTTATTGGCCTTTGGACCTTCGCACAATCTGTGAAAATCAGGCTTTTACAAGGTTCACCTATTAAAGGTGAGATCTAGCTAAATCAATTCATTGGATTAAATGGAGCAAAACAAGTCTAATATGCAAAAATTAGCCTAGGCCCACTAAGGGCCCAATTGTTAGCTTCATCTACACACTTTACTATTTGTCACCTCACTTTTACTACTAAAATATGAAAATCAATGATTGTCAATACAAGGTAAAATGGAGCAAAAGTCTCCAAGTAACATACCCTAGAATCCTAAAGGGATGACCTTTAAGAAAAGAAAAAAGG